CCTCAGGCAGCCAGTTCTTCCCTCCTCCTTGTTTCTGAATGACCTTATATTGTTTTGCGAATTGTCTCTGCAAGCCCCAAATGAAGTCAATATAAACAATTTATCATTGGTGCTTGCCATCAGTGTTGGCATCATAGTTTTCAGTGGGTCTTGGGCCATACAAAATTGACTAAGAATTCTTCTCCTTCTAATTAAGCACATTTTGTTGAGTCTTAACATCGTTTTAGAGAAAACTCAAATACGAAAATCCAGCCTCTCAATTGTGAATATCTGGGCTATGCTAAAATATCTAGAAATTTTTAAATTGCAATTAAAGCATGCAAGATGAATGGTTGAATATTGTTATCTTCATTTTACAAATAAGGAAACTAAGACAACGGGGGTGGCTTGCCTGAAATCACACAATCAAGTGGGTCACCTGGGATTTGAATCCAGGTGGGCTGACTTTAGAACCTACATTCATGATCATGGTATCTCCCTCTCTTTTGTATATTCAAGGGCATGATTAAGTTATTACTTCCATTTATGGCTGGTGTTGGTGCAAATTAATAATACCCTTTTGAATGCTAATTGTACCTTTGAGAGTTTATTTTAATGAAATTATCCAAAAGTGTGGCTGGGGATGCCATGGGCAAGATGTTGTCTACATTATTATTTATAATATTGCAAAATCTAAAAATCTAAATGTTCAATCACTCATGAGTTATATATTATCGTTATGTGTTTCCATTCAATATGTTATGTAGTTCTGAACATTTTTAGTTGTGAAGACTCTATAGCAACATGGAAAATATACTATTAAGTGAAAAAAAAGATGTTTTAAAATTGATTAGAGCCATGTAAAAAGTGCTCACGAATAAAACTAGTAGAAAACATTCTTGGATATGGATGTGGGAAGTAGGAAAGTGACTTTATTTTGATGTCTCCTCTAATATTGTCACATTAATAATTGTAAACATAAAGTTTTAAATTCTGAAGGTAAAGACTTCTCCAATCCTTAAAGCTCCACCTGTTTGCATGAGTGGAGTGTACACACAAGTGTACAAGTGAAAGGAAGTGAGAGATACTTTTGTTTTGCTAAGCTTATTCCTCTGAGAGCTATGCCATAATGGTGGCAAACAGTGAATCAATAAGTATAGTTGCAAGGAAAGAACATATAGTAAGTTTTGTTAAACTTAGGACTAAAAGACTTGACGAATGTATGTGAGTAACCAATTTCTTTTATGCCTCCCTAAGTCAAGTATGTTCTTTTGGATGGACAGAAAAAAACACATTTACTATCAAGACCATGTTTCCCAAGGGTTGCCACGATCAATGCAGAGGTGCAGTCAAAGCCTCACACCGGGAAGCTAACGGGTCCAGCAAAGCCCCAAACATCTCCAGTGGAAGTCACATCTCCAAATGTTGCATATCTATGCTCACTATTCATGAGCTGTCAGAAGACACATCTCATGTCTGTCCTGTTTCTTGATATAGCTAGCACCAAATATTTGCTCAGAAATCTTGGTTAAGTGCATGGGCAATGCGGTGGGATCAGCATCCTGTACCTTCCAAAGAATAGTTTCTTTCTCTACCAGTTCCTGCCTATGGTGGAGGCTGCTTGGTCATGTGGTCTTCCTAAGCACACTGGAAGCTCACACACTTCCCAGTGCCTTTGTGGACAGGTGGAACAATGTGACTAGATCTAGCCCATAAAAAGAGACTGAAAGTGATGTGTGCTACTTCCTGGATCAGGCATTTGAGTGGGTGAAATACTTCCAAGCTCTCAGCATTGACCTTGAGATTCATGTGTTGAGATGACAGCATCACCACATGGAGCAACCTAGACCCCCGAGTCAACAGGTCTAGGACCCCTCACAGACATTCACAGGGAATATGTATAAGAATCAAATCTCTATGGTGCTAAGCCAGAGATTTCAGGATTTGCCTCGTTGCAGCACTTACCATGACTTATATAGCAATAAATTCCATTTATTTTACATAAACAAAGTGAGAATATGGATTAGACATGAACTCAGTAAAAGCACTGTTCATAAAATATTTCATGGAGACCATGTTTATCGCAGTGAAGTCCATTAAGTCACTTTCTCTCCTTGCTGAAAACATACAGGAGAAACTTCTCAACCTGCAGTCCTTAGAAAACGTTGAGTATCTCTTGAGTATTTGAATATAAAACATTACTCAGAATGCGATCTTATTGACTGATAGGGATGGGGAGGAGGAAGGGTGAGAACCAAGTTTTTAGAATGAACACTGAACAAACGATCCAGGAGCCATACTTCTAACACTGTTAGAGACAGATAGTGTAACTCAGCTCTGAGTTAATAATTAGTGTTGTTGATTTTAATTTACTTTTCTTCTAGGCTTCAGGACTATTAATTTTTCCATTGCTTTATAACAAGGTAGCTCAAAGAATAAGCTAATGGTGAGAATTATGACTGCAGGATGTGCAGTAAGGTAGTTTGTGGCACAGGCTTTCGTAAGCAAGTGGGGCAATACTGAAATGGATCCTGTGCAGTGGGTGTGACTTGCAGTTAGCTTAAAGTGACTGTGCTTGTGGATTCAGGGTCCCCAGATGCTGTTTAATCACTGGCACTTCCTCCTTCTGAAGTTCACACATCACTTTGATTCACATTTTTGATGGAAAATATTCCTTCCCTAAAACTCCCTCAGTTGATCAATACCTGATGCAGAAATATTAACATTTGAAAATCCCAGCTCAACCTCAACCTCACCTCAGCTCTACCTTTGCTTTCCATACCTGTGTAGATTCAATGACTTAAAATATCTCGTGTACAGGCATTGAAAGATAGTGCTGTAATATTTCTAGATTTCATATCTGTAATCATATCTGTAAATGATTTACAACAGATGCACATAGACACATGTGAAAAAAATTCTTTATTAATTTCTCACATTTCATTACAAAATGTATGTTGCAAACAACTTGAATAACCTACTTGTGGTTTTTTTGTTTTGTTTTGTTTTTTTTTGTTTGTTTTTGTTTTTAAACCCTTGGCTTCAAGGACTCAGGGTCTCCCTATCTTTTATGAAGTTTTGGGAAACACTGATTACGAGAGTCAATAGGTTATCATTTTGCTATTTATTTTCTTCTCTCAAGCTCTGAAAAAAATGTCCTCTGTATAAATTAAACAACAACAAAAAATGTTGTAAATTCTATGTCATTACAGTCAACAGAATTATAATAATGCATCCAAAATGTGCGGCCACAAAATATCAGGTATATGTTTGAAAAAGAAAAAAAAATGACATTCTAGCCTTGTTAAAAGGATAATGGTCCCATATTTTTATTAACAGGTTAGCAAAACAAAATCCAATGGATTACAATATTTACATGTTATTTGAAAAATAAAGTAGTGATAAAAGCATGTCACAATTATTTTCTTTTTTTTTTCCTTTTTCTTTCTTTTTTTGTTTTTTGGTAACCATTACAAACACCCGATCCAGGTATGGAACTGTTTAATACATTTGAAATGAGGCCAATTAAAAACAAATATAGACACAAAATGAATCTTTGTCTGGATAGTTCACACTTTCCCCATTTTCTGGTTTCCACATGATGGCCCCCATCCCTTAAAAAATTAAATTAAAACAAACATCCTACAAATAAAAATTCTTAACGGTAAGAAAATAAAAGAAGAACATGCTTTTCAAGTAAGCACTTATTCCACAAATGCAACATCTTTCCATGGATTTTATTTGAAGCTGTGTGGGACACTGTCATCTCAGCAATTCCCCTTCCCTTTCTTCCCTCCCACCCTCCCACAACCCTTCCAAGTAAAAAAAAACAAAACATGAAAACCAAAGGACTCACACATGCACACATGCACACACACACTCATACACGCACACACACACACGCACATCCAAGCACACACACACACGGGCTTCTAAAACCTAGGCTTCAAGAAAAGTTCTTTTCTATTTTTTGGAACGAAACCCTTTGTTCACAATCAGAACATATTATAAATGTAGGCTTAGATTTCGTCTAAGCTGCTCCCTCCTGAAAAAGCTGATATGGGGGACAGAGCAGCTGGCAGCTAGATTTAAAAAAAAAAAAAAAAAAAAAAAAAAGAAAGTAGTTCTCCAGGCTCCTTGTAGGATACACGTTATTTCTTGTCCACTCTCACCAAAGGGATGGGATTCTAGTACATCCCCTCGTCCCCTAAATAAATGAAAACCCCCCGCAAAACACAATGCCAGCAGAAACAAAACACAGATTTTAAAATCACACACAAAAGCCAGCCAATCCTAACAGAAATTATTTGTGTGAGACGGATAATGCGTGAATTTGACAGGCAACAAAAGGGTGAGGAGGACCTCCTCGTCTGGCCCACAAGCTGCATAGCTGTGCCGAAAGTTTGGTTCTTTAGTTAAATTAAAAAAAAAAAAAAAAAAAGAAAGTTAACTTCTTTGTTATTTCCATGTTTAAAATAAAAACATTCCTATTCACAAAAAACTAAATCTCCCTTGCCCCGAAATTAAAACAACAATAACAACACACACACGAAAAACAATTCATATGAAAAACTGAATTGTGCTGTGTTTGTAACACTCAAATTGATAGAAAATAAACATGTGGCAAACAAAACTCCACAATCACCTTAAAATTAGCTCACATGAATCTACCAAATTCTAAATTATAGTTGAACACTAATAAACAGCTTACCTGGAATAAAGGATGACAATTCACAAACAGTTATCTAATAATTAAAGTCTGTTTCTTTTTTTTGTTTTGTTTTTTACTAAAATAATTAAAAAAATCACAGTATTTTAAGAAATAAAACCCACATGGGGATTTTAAGCACAATTTGTGTTCCTTTCTTTAAAACTCTTTTTTTTTTCTCCATTCACCATCTTGCCCAGCAGTTCTCTCTACATTTAACCACAACGACGACAGGTAGTACTGACAAATGCAGAGAGTTCCCTTGGTTAAGTTTGAGGTACTAGGAAACAGGTGACTGTTTTATGCAAAGCAGTTTTTTTTTTTTGTTTTCTGTTTTTTGTTTTTTTCCCAAAGCGGCTGCAGTTAGGTCTTGAAAAAGCTTAAGGTATTAAAACTAGAAAAACGCACCAAAAGTTGTGCGTCAAAAAGTTGCTCCCCAATGAGAAGTCTTCTACTGTCACGGAGCTTCTGTTTCCATATACTGTCCAAGACCACCACAGGGTGCACCGTACCCTTGGGAGGTGCTTCCATATTCCGCAACAAATGAAACTTCCATGATGAAGATCCGGAAGAAAAGATGTAGTGATGGAAAAGGAGCCACATATTCCAACCATTTAAATAACTTTAATTTACATACTCACTCACACAGGTACCAGTGCTTTGAAAATAGATTGTTCAGTCCTAAAAAGCAGCTTTGTTCTGTCTTCTCTTTTCTGTCCCTCCCTTCTCAGCCCAAGCCAGCCCTCCCACTTTTTCATCACTGTTCAAGTAAGGTTTGATTAAGGATTTCACCAAACGCTTATTCTTTTTTGGCCTCTGCATTCTCCAGGAGAGATTTGTCGGCAGTTACTACACAGATGGCTACTGTTTCATTCTTTAGGGAAAAGTCTATCCCAATGGCCTCGTCATCTTCCTTTTCCTCTATGGAGGGCATTTTAACACTGTTCTCCATGATCTCTTTTGGGTGGATTTCTTCTCTGCTCACCTGCTTGGTGTCATTCAATGCCCTGAAAAAACATGTATCGAAGAGACAGATGAGTATAGTATATATATTTTTCTTATTAAACAAATAAATAATAAAAACCCTCAAGTGTCCTTATTTTCCTGATCCTATAAAAGCCTTGGGGTTTCCTTGGAACAAATGCCATGGGTGTATGACAAAATACCAAGTGATTCATCCCTGCTATGTTTTGCTTAAGTCATATATTTCTGTATCTTAAAGATTTGAACTTACAGAAGTATCCATTATTATACTATACATTGATTATACCATGTTTTGTTTCTAGGTAAGCATAATCATTTTATGTCACTTCTTCTACTGGATCATCAGTGGTAATAGCAGGAATTGTCTTATGCTCAAAGTCATCAGCCGAACCCAGAAGCTTGGAGATTTGGTTCTATTTATTAAGTCTAAAAGAGTAACTCAGGTACTAAAGATTTGTTTGTCAGGTCCTGAAACAAATCATGAAAACAAACTAAAAGCAAAAACCTGAAGATGGAACCCATGTCTTGGGAAGCGTGGTTATATTCTCTGAGGTCTAGACCCTTGAGGCTTCAGGGATCAAGCTTCAGGCTTCATATCACCACACAAGCCACGTTTCCTCCTGAAAAGACCACATCCTTGGTTCTCTCTGTGTCTGGTGGACTAACGGTGCCTTGTTGAGGGGCTGATTCTATGTTCAGGGATCTCATAAGTATTTTACAAGTATGCTCTCACCTACCTGGGAGGCAGGCAGAAGCTGGCTCTGTCCCCGAGGCAGTACATGGGAATGTTCAGGGCCACTCAGGGAATGGTCAGTCACAGAGGCAGGAACAGAAGCCATATCTTTTGACCTCGATTCACATTCTATTATAGAATGTCATGCTACTGAAAACTAAAGGGACATTGGCTGGAGAAAACACTATACTTCTGCACATGGGCTTGAGTGGGACTGGTCGTTCATAAAGATGATTTTTTTCCTTATTTGACTTGTGGCTGAGTGACCATTTTAAAAAACAACAGAAAAGGAGAAACTTGGTTCCTCACCATTGCCTCTCCTCCCATGGACCAGAAATGTGACACAGAGGGGTGTACATACTGTCAGGGGAACTAAAACGAGAGCCCCTCCCTCCCTCCCTACCTCTTGCTTTGGACAAAGGCATCCTTGAGATGGCCCGACTTACATGCCGTGTCTCAGCACATGTCTTTCCCACTCAGAGCCCTGTGAAAACGCCCGTCCACAAAATTCACATGGAAAACGCTTCTCAGTGTTAATAGCAGCTCCGTGGTCAGAAAATCTCATCAGCTCTGCAAAGAGAAAGCAGAAGTGCTACCTGTGTGCTGTGGGAATCAGCAGAATAGGTAAGTCAGCATTCATTAGGATATCTTCTCTCCTACCTTCACTGATAAAGCCATGCGGTGAAAGCAATTTCCAGATTCCTTACTTTTTCTTAGGTTTCCCCCTTAGGGCATTTCTTGAATAGCATGCAAGAACTGTTTCTGGTTCTTGGGCCCCAACACCTCATTTCTCCTCACCTCCCCAAGGCTTCTATCACATAATCTGGGTCTTTCTTGACTGAAGAGCCCCTTGCCCATTCCAAAGGAATCTGAGCATTATTTTTTCCAATTTATTCTCCCCTTTGTGTGATGATTTATATCAGTGCCTCACAGGTTAGCATCTATTCATTTCCTTTTTGACACAGGTTTATCTTTGTTCACTGAAAAGAACATACGCTACCAAAAGCCCTGGACCAGGTTATGTGTTGTGGACCTCAGGGTTTCTACTTGTTCCAAGTAAGGCTGAAGGCTCATGACTTGTGGTCATCCATCATAGGTATTATAATCAATACCTTACAGGGCGGTTATGTGCACTGAATGAGATCTGCAAGCGAAGACTCTACCATGAACATGAATCTGGATGAGTGGGAACCAGTATGTGAACACATGTGCCCAGCTATTGAGAGGTCCTGGCTAGCTGCCCGGCACCTACCCCTCAATTGGTGGTATTTATGAATACGGGGATATGCAGACATTTCTGGACGGTCTGTTGTAAACATCAAATATTGACTTAGTTGTTTTGTTTCCTCCATGGTACTAGGCACATGGTAGAAGTCTGATAAATGTGGATTGGCTGTTTAACTGTTTTCAGGCCACGTCTCCCGGCAAACTCAAAGATAAGAGCTTATATGGCCATTGTGTTAGCCTGAGTTCCTAGCCCATATGTGTTTCATTATACCAGAGGGCCAAGTCTTCATGTAGGTAATAAACGGCAGGACCTTGCCAGTTCTGCAGCCGTGTTGCAAAGCGAGGGCATCGCATAGGGAAGTGTTGATCATCTTTACACTCTGATCATTCTGGTCCACACATACAAGACATTACAGGAAGATGCCTCCTGGTTGAAATGCCCCATCTAGTAAGATTCTCAGGACGATGTTAACAGGATGGGGGGCTCTGTGATGCCTTAATCTTCAGCACAAACAGCTATGTGACTGGGGCCAGTTTTAACAAAAGATGAAACATTTTCTCACAAATTAAGAAGATCACCACACAAGCCATTAAAAATAATTGCACAGACTATCTTCCTTGATTCTTTTCATTGGAAATGAGACAGCACCATCTGCTCTGCGCATTAATTCCTTAGCAGGGATTATCTTGGGCAAGAAATCAACAGAATGCCTTCCTGACTCCTCCCCAACTGCATAATGAGAGGGGGGTGGGGAGGATTCTGCTGGGGTTAATTTTGATTTCTTCATGCCTGGATTCTTCTGTTTCAAATCTCCCCTGAGCTTCCTAGGCAGGACCTGCAGTGTGTCCATATTCAGTCCAGCGCTTGCGTTTAGAAAGGAGGTAGGGAGTGGGATGCCTGTGAGGCTGTGAATCCCCTAAACTGAGGGTGTCTGATAAAAGTCTAAATTGCCAATAAGAGGAATCATGTTCCTGGTACACTTGCTCCTTTACCCTTAATCTGTAAACAGGAAACCAGTCATCTGTCCTTTCCAATGGCACATAATAAGTTCCATCCTCAGAGGAGGAGGCCACTGGGCACTGGCCACTCTTCCAAGAGCTCTCCACCAGCCCGAGAGCTGCGCGCAAGCCACCTCCGGCCCTCTGCTCCTAGAAGCTGGGATGCCTGGCAGAAACACCGGAGGCTATTGTGTGCATTTCTTCTTGCCAAGAATATACCTAGATGGTGGAAAGTTGATTCTCGGTCTATTCAAAGGAGTTGGGACAAAGGAGGCTGCTCTTTCAAGGATCGGTGAGGGGGAAGGGAAGGTTTAGGCTTGTAATTCCCATTAACATGACTGGAAGTTACTCATGTAAATCCCCCACCCTCTGAGAGGAATACGTGCTTCTCCACCCTGAGGGCTTTTTTTTTTTTCCCCATGTAGTAAAGCTCATGAATGTGGATACTATACTTTTCCCAGTGAGAAGCGGAGACCCTGAAGTTCTTTCCAGCCAACCCACTCCTGTGTAATGCCACAGTGCCAAGTAAAAGGGGGCTGCCAAGTAGGGTAAAATGAGGAGGTCTGCCTCGTGTCCCACACACATCCCAACCACCATCTTCTAAATTTGAGTTTTCTTTCTCTCCTTTTCTTTTTGTATAAGGAGTCACAGGGGAGCAGAAGCCTAGAAGGTATTTTGTCTTTATAATGCTTATAACCTTTGAAATCACACATGCTCAGTTTTAGAGATTAAAAAGCCACGATAATATCCAATGAGAAATAATTTGTTTCCAGAGGAGAAAAGGCAAGGCCATAGAGCATTATGAAGAAAAAGGAGTCTTGCTGTCAAAAGTATCCTCTCCCAGAAAAGTCCAGTAATAGTGCAGGGATGTTAAGAAATCATTGTGAAGAAACTACTCATGAAATGGTTTGAAAAAGAAGAAGAAAAAAAAAGCCATGCTTCTCCGATCACAACCATTTTCCTTGTAAGAAATGGACTAATACAGCCCCTACTGATAAAAGTAATAACTTTATGAGAACAATCAACCTATATGGTAAGGATGTTTTATTTGTCCATGTCTTTTTCAGGTTAACTGTAGGCACAGGGTTTTTGAAAGGGTAGCGTATCTTGGCTGTCATTTCCTGCTGACTGTCTTGATCAGGGGTTCAAGAGCCAAACTGGAGGCCCCCCTCTGCAAACCCATAGTCTTCAGCCCTGGCATCATGGTAGGAGGGTGAGTGCAAGTCAGGAAAAGGAACAGGGAACACCTTGGAGCGAAGTAGCCCACCAATAGGCTTCCTTAATGTTTGCAGACAGAACAAGCAGAAAACACAAAGAAATTCTGCAAAACGGCTCCTTAGAGCAAGGTCCCAAAGGCCACGGAATCCAGAGATTTCAGGGCCAGGTCCCCTTCAATGAAGATTACACTACTCGAGGCATTGGGAAAGTGATGTGCAGGGTTAGAAGAGGGCTTGCTTTTGGAGCTAAAAGATGTAAATTTGAATTGAATTTCATCTCCAGGGTTTATGTTTTTTTGTTGTTGTTTGTTCGTTTTGTTTTTTACTTTGAACATGCTCTTAAATTTCCTGGGTCCTAATTTTTCCATTTGTGAAATCACAAAAATAACACCTACATTGCAGGCTTATCATTTTATTAGGTAACTGCTATATTCTAGGAACTGGGCGAAGGTCTTGTGTGTTATCTCATTTGATCTTTACAACAACCCATAGAACCACACCCTGGATAGCCAAAACAATCTTAAGCAAACAGAACAAAGTTGGAGGCACCACCTTACCTGACTTCAAAATTGACTACAAAACTATAGTAATCAAAACAGCATGGTACTGGCATAAAAACAGATACACAGACCAACAGAATAGAATAGAGAGCCCAGAAATAAATCCACACATTCATGGTCCATCAGTTTTCAACAAAGGTGCCAAGAACACATAATGGGGAAAGGGCAGTCTCTTCAATAAATGGTATTGGAACAGGTGGATATCCACATGCAGAAGAATGAAATTAGACCCTTATCTCACACCAGATACAAAAATCACCTCCAGATGAATTAAAAACTTGAATATAAGACCTAAAACTATAAAACTACTAGACAAAAACAAAGGGGAAAAGCTCCATGACATTGGTCTGGGCAATGATTTTTTGGATATGACCTCAAAAGCATGGGCAACAAAAGCAAAAACAGATAAACAGAATTACATCAAACTAAACAGCTTCTGCACAGCCAAGGAAACAATCAACATAGTAATAGACAACCTATGGAATGAGTGATAATATATGCAAACCATACATCTGATAAGAGATTAGCACCCATGCTATATTAGAAAATCAAGCAACTCAATAGAAAATAACCTGATTAAAAAATGGCAAAGGATCTGAGTAGACATTTCTCAAAAGAAGACATACAAATGGCCACCAGGCATATGAAAAAATGTTCAACATCACTAATCATCAGGGAAATGCAAATTAAACCACAATGAGCTATCACTTCACACCTGTTATTATCAAAAAGAATAAAGATAACATGCTAGAGAGAATGTGGAGATAAGGGAACTCCTGTGCACCTCAGCGTTGGTGGGACTGCAAATTAGTGCAGCCATTATGGAAACAGCATGGAGGTTCCTCAACCAATTAAAAGTAGAACTACCACATTGATCTAGCAATCCCAATTCTAGGTATATCCAAAGGAAATGAAAGCAGGATATTGAAGACATATCTGCACTCTCACGTCCACTGCAGGGTTATTCATAATAACCAAGATAAGTAATCAAGCTAGGTGTCCATCAAAAAATGAATGGATAAAGAAAATGTGGTATATACACACATGAAATACTATTCACCATTAAAAAATATGAAATCCTGTCATCTGTGACAACAGAGATAAACTTGTAGAACATTACGTTAAGTGAAACGAGCCAGGCACAGAGAGGCAGACACAAATACTGCATGATCTCACTTATATGGGGAATCTAGAAAAGTCAAACTCATATAAGCAGATAGTAGAATGGTGGTTACCAGGGGCTTGGGGATTTGGGGAGATGTTGTTCAAAGGATACAAAATTTCAGTCAGATAGGAAGAATAAGTTCAAGAGATCTATTGTACAACACAGTGACTACAGTTAATAACAACATATTGTATACCTGACAATTGCTAAGAGAGTAGATTTTAAGTGTTCTCACCATAAAAATGACAAGTATGTGAGGTAATGCATACGTTAATTAGCTTGATATAATTTTCCACAATGTGTATGTATTTTGAAACATGTTATACATCATAAATATATACAGTTTTTATCAATTAAAAATAATTTCAAAATAAATTTAAAAAGTCTGAAATCTGAAGTTTTAAAGTTCAAAAAAAAATCTTTACAACAATCTTAGGAGGGAGATGATATTATTCTCATTATTATGACTGTTATTATTTTACAGATGACGAATGTACGAGGAGATAAAATAATTTACCCGAAGCCATCTAGATAGTAAGTAGCAGAACTGGAAACCAAATTCGGCAGGCTAAATGCACAGTTCTCTTAGTCATGAGATTAAAGAAAAATGTTATATAAAAACCACCAGCACTGAGGCTAGCACATAATGATGCTCAGTAACGGCAACTATTCTCATCTCTGGGTCGATATCTGCAATGTTGATTTCTGATGTTTATGTTATCCACGTGCTTTTGATAAATCTGCAATAACTAAAGTAACATATCTCAACCTATATTCTTGTATATATAGTCTGGGGTTTTCCACAATATTCTATGTTGAACAATATAGAAAACCAACGCTGAATCACATAAATGTATATCCACAACTAAATATACTTTTGAAAACTTTTTCATTCTGAAATAATTATAGACTCACAGGAAGTTAGAAAAATAGTACCAAAGTCCCACAAAACCTTCCCCAGTGTATTCTGTAAATACATAGTTGAATGAGAGAGGTGGTCTCTCTTTCCCTCTCTTTACAAAGCAAGTCAGAGCACAAAGGGGGTTAAGAAAAGGGTCATGCAGACGGACATCAGGGGGTAGGGGCTCAAGTTCTTTGCACCCTCCCCTACAGTTCCAGCAGTGTGTGCCCCAGCAGCAGTAATTTTAAAAAAGCATTCAACTGGAAGTTCATTCTCATTCCTCTAGAGCTCTACAGTGTCATCCATCTTGCTGTCTGCTTGTCCTTATTCTGAAGATTCCCTAGATATCAGTTTTCCTTATTAAAAACAAATCACTGCCATCTATTTTTTCAACAAACATATATCTATAATTAGGGAGAAAATGTCTGTTTTCCTTGGCGTTTCTATAGCTAGTAATAGTTTACAAAGACACAGCTCTTGATGTGTTTCCTAAGTCAGTCTGTTCTGCTACTTAACTAAGAAGGATCATTCCTTCTGTTACTCCCACAACAATCTCCTGCCTCCCTTCTGTCTCACTACGGACATGACAGATGCCATCTGGGATTGGGAGGGCAGGATGAGACTAACCTCTGTCTTCAGTCTTGCTGTTCATTTCGTCTTCCTTGTCCTCATCATCACTGCTGGAGCTCTCCATTTTCTCCTTCATCTGTTCCAGCTGATCCAAGTTAACCCGTCCAACCAGCTCAAAGTTACGGCTTACCTGAAAAAGGCCCAAACAAATGATGGAATAATAAGCCGCAGACCAAATAGGATTCTTCCTGATGGAGAGATCTTTCCGACATCATTTTACTGTGACTGTGGTTTCGCAACCAGGACCAAACAACTCCAGGGCCTCAGAGTTCTTTGACTTTGTTTTGACTCTTTTGGAGATGGAGCTGCCCTTTGCTCCCGCATTCCATCATTTTCACCGGAACTTTTGCACACTGGCCCTTCATTACCAAACTTGTGAAGAAACATGAGCTGTAGTATGCAGGAGACCAAAAGTAAAATGAAGCCTAGAGTATAGAGTAAATATCCAAAACACACTTTTTATTTTAGTTGAATTCAAAGGTGTAACTCTCCTAACAACCCATGTTTCAAATACTTCTGCAGGTGAAGAAATTCTGCAAGCATGCTGACCACTAGCAATGAGACACAATACAAGCTTCTTTGCCATCATCCCATCAACCAGGGTGTTGCGGGGTGTCACAGCCTAGGCCAGATGACAGCCATCTGATCCTGAACTCTAGTTTAAATGGAAGATAATTATTATTATGTCAAGCATTACTACTGTTTTTGAAGCTGACCACAGCCTATATATCAAGGCCGGGATTATCTGAGAAAAACCTAGATGACTAACCCCTAAAAGCCCTTTTAAAGTGTTAACTATGGCTGGTTTTTATTTATGTAAAATGTGGTCAGAATAATGTGGAAATCCAAGCTTTCTTCAAAATATCATTGGAGGGAAACAAAAATCTATACTAAGAAAAGTCTTTAATGATTTTCCATTTTGGGTTCTCAGATCAATAGCAGCACAAAATTTACCTTCATCATGAATTGATTTTCAGAACCTCTCCAGTTGCATGCATAGAATGATCAGGAATGACAAGCTGGTGCAGGGTTAAAGTCAAAAAACTGCCCTGGGCTACGTGTCTATGTAAGGTGTTATGCTCCCCTTGTTGGAGGCATGGGGAGGGTACACACAAGATGAATGAGATCTGGTTCTGGCCTCCAGAGGCTCACAGTTGAGTTGAAGAGGGAAGACAGACATCATTAATCAGATTCCAAGGCAGACTTCCCTAGCTGCCACAGTAGAGACAGAGTGTGATGAAGGCACAGGAGAGGAAAGAGATAATTTACAAGACAATTCCAAAATAGTCTCTGGGACCAGACTGGAACAAAGATTTGCTGAACGCCACCGATTCCATGTGCCTGGCAGATGGGAACATCATCATCGACTGTGACAAATGTAAAGAGCCTCAGAGTACCAGGCCTTAGATACTGAGGCTGAATACTGTCCCAACAACATCCTGTAAGAGATAGGTAGCCGCCGGGCGCGGTGGCTCACGCCTGTAATCCCAGCACTTTGGGAGGCCAAGGCGGGCGGATCACAAGGTCAGGAGATGGAGACCACGGTGAAACCCCGTCTCTGCTAAAAATACAAAAAATTAGCCAGGTGCGGTGGCGGGTGCCTGTAGTCCCAGCTACTCAGGAGGCTGAGGCAGGAGAATGGCGTGAACCCGGGAGGCAGAGCTTGCAGTGAGCTGAGATTGCGCCACTGCACTCCAGTCTGGGAGACAGAGCAAGACTCCGTCTCAAAAAAAAAAAAAAAAAAAAGAGAGAGAGAAAGAGATAGGTAGCATTCAGAAGGGGGAGAACTCAGGGAAAAACCTCTTTTAAAACAGGAGAAACAATACACTGATCTATCTGTAACAATGAAATCCATGAAATTAGTTAACTTTGAAAACAACTCAACGTGGGGGTGGACAAGACGCAGACAACAATCCCAAAGCTAAACAAGCAGGGAAGCCAACTTCTTGTTTTTCTCAATTAAACAAGTTCTAAAAATTAAGGGACTAAGGCAAGAGGAAGAGAAAGAGGTCAATTCCGAATCCTGATTTCTCTTTCTTCCCCTCTAAGTCCACAGTAACGGTTTCCAAAGGAGTTCTGCTTGTAGCACCTTACTAACTAGGGCTTTAACATTTTCATTGATTTCCTTTTATGACATAAAAGTAAAAAGGGATAGCACAAGAACATGTGCTTTGAATTCAGACAGACCTGAGTTCAAGTTTAGGATTTGCCATTAACCACCAGATTCTGGATAAATCACTCAGTATATGTACTTGATATATTTATTTGTAAAAGGAGGTCAGCGTAGTGCCTGAAACACAACAGACCTCCAACATGTAATTTCCTTTCCCTTTTCTGGGAATGTGAGGCTTTTCTAGTTTTGGCTCTTGGGAATGCTCACAACAAGCATTGTAAATGCATATTTACGAAGTTATGTTTAGCCACAAAGTCTACATTTTAGCCAAACAGCATTTATGATAAATATTTGAATAAAAAGTTTTCTGGCTTGCTGGTTTTTCAGGAAAAGTGGGCAAGGTTCCAATTTGCCTAATTTTTAAATACATTTGAAGAAAAGTATTTTTAAGTGACTAGTACATAAAAGGCAGCCTTTCCTGAGCCACTTTCTCCTGCACTTCTCACCGTTAGTAATCAGGGAAACTATAAATACGTGTAAAGGACATAAGGGGTGGGCTGTCACCAGGAAACAAAAATAATGAAACCAAGGAGACCAAAGAAGAATCCTCAAACATCTGCTTTAATCCAGTTGTATTCATTCATTCATTCATTCATTCATTCATTCATTCATTCATTGATCAAGGATTCCTGGAGGGCTGGCTTGCTGTGTGCCAGCCTCTGGGGTCCACACTGGAACCCCTGCTTCTTTTGGAACTCTTGGTGACAGAAGGAGATCTGTCACCAAACCAAATGTTATTTTTCCCCCCCTCATTCTGGGTTTTTTTGAAGACTGTATTTGTCCATTTTCCCAGCACCATCATCCCTTCACTGGAAAACTGTTAACATTTTAAATTCTGCATGATTTTAAAATAGTACATGACATTTTCACAGTATGATGTTCATCCCAGGCTAACCCAGGATTTATTTGGTCCTGAAGATTTCTAAAATCTTTGCTAGGCAATTAAAAGATTTAAAAATGAGAACCAAAATTTTTGCTATGTAATTAGAATATTTTAAAATAAAAACTCTTTATTGTTTTGGGTTATGACGGTATTTGAAATCCCCAAGCCATCCATCTAAATATTAATCCTAACACAAAAGGAAGACTCTTTTCTGCATTCCTGAGCCCATTATCATTGTTTACCTGGATTACTGCAAGCCCCTTCCCCTCCCGTGTTCGTCTCCCAGCACCTACTCTTGTCCCTTCTTGTACCTGATTCTTTAGTGTGGTCAAAGCAATTTTTAAAAAAATTTAAATCTCTTCATGTCAGTCTCTGCTTGCCCTGAGGATGAAATACAAATTTCTTACTGTCATTTACATGGCGGACTCTCATGTTATTCTGGCCCATCTTCTCCAGGCTCCCCCTTGCTCCCACCACCCTGAACTTATGGAGGTCCTGGAATATGTCATGCCCTTGAGGAGTCTGTGCCTCCACCATCTCACCTGTCTGAAACTTGCTCATGCCTGCCGGCTTCACGTGTTGAGTCCTTAATCTCCTAGCCCCGCTTCTGTCACTTCTTCTGGGAGACCTTCTCTAAACTCCTCCTGTGTTCAATATCCTTGCTCCATGTGTTCACAGCACTCTGCACCCCCACTTCAAGAGCATACCCCATTAGTAATGAATTGTTTATGGCCTGCCCCTCCCCAGTCCAAATACAAACTATGAGAACAGACTTGCTGTGAGTCTTACTTACAGCTGAATCCCCACTGGCCAGTACAGTGTCTAGATTAAGAAAGGGTGTTATTCTCGCCTCCTGGCTACTGGATATCTTCATTTTCATTTCAAATCGTTTTTTTTATATAAATATTCACAAAAAATTTATGAAAATACAGAAAAACTCATTTAAAGTTCAACTCCCTATACATAATAACTGTTAATGAATTATTGTATTTCTGTATTCCTGTTCTCTATCCGTAGCTTATTTACATTACTGTTATCATTTAAAACAAACAAGTGTATATCCAACTTTTTCATGCCTGGCATAGTGTACACATCATTCTCTGAATAAATATAATTTTAATCACTACATAGCATTTCATCAAGTGGATATATGACCGTTTACTTGACTATGCATTCCCGCATGAATTTACAGTGGATCATTTCTGGCTTTTCATTATTAAAAATGTTTGTTACAAAAAACAATGAACCTTATTGTATTTAAGCCTTTCTTTCATGCTTAGTTTTAATTTTATAGGCTAAATTTCCAGATGTGAAATTACAGGGTCAAAGTCAAAGGGTATAGACTTTATAAAAGTTCCCATGTATTTTGAACTGATTACACCACTTTCTGGGCCCGGAGATTGGTGTGTATTTGAATAACTCCTTGATGATGCAGACGACATATTGAGAGAAACACACTTTTCCCCTCTAAAGATGAGAAGCAGTTTATTACCATTTCCCCAAAGGCCCACAACAAAGGGAGAAAGAGCAAGCTTAAGAGTTTGAGATTTAGAACCCGGCTCCTTGTAGGCTCCTTCTGCAGGTGAAAGAGGCCGCATGTTCTTCAAGGGTGGATTGTTCAGACACATAATAATTCAGACTAGAAACCCATATGCAGATCTTTATTCCTGTGAAAGCTATTTGTGAATGCCCACTCACTCAAGGTGCCCTGTGAAGGCCACTAACCCAGAGTTTGGTGAAGTCATCCATCTAATGAGAATGTGAGATGAGGGCTGGGTGTGGTGGCTTACACCTGTAATCCCAGCACTTTGGGAGGCTGAGGTGAATGGATCACTTGAGGTCAGGAGTTTGAGACCAGCCTGGCCAACATGGTGAAACCCCGTCTCTACTAAAAATACAAAAATTAGCCAGGCGTGGTGGCAGGTGCCTGTAATCCCAGCTACTTGGGAGGCTGAGGCAGGAGAATTGCTTGAACCTGGGAAGTGGAGGTTGCCAAGAGCGAAGATCATGCCACTGCACTCCAGCCTGGGTGACAGAGGAAGACTCCGTCTCAAAAAAATAATGATAATAAAAT